GGGATAAATCTCTTTATCATTTTATTTCGTCTTCTAACTTCTTCTGATCCTGGAACCCAATCCTCGTCGCTGTCATCACCACTTTCACTTGAGCTTTCGTCATCTTGACTAATGGGTACCTCCTTCGGTTTTTTAACAGGTGTTTTGCGAGGACGACTTGGAAGACCAGCGGGAACTGCGGGAACAGGAAGTCCTGAAAAATTGATAATAAAAAGAGAAGTTAATCTAATAAATCGAGAAAGTTGATCGGTAAACACGTTGATATATTAAAGTAACCTCAGTTGTAAATAGCTAGGGAAGTAACAAGTCATTAATTATCTATTTACCATCTTTATCAATGTTTCTATCCTTGGGGAATGAAATAAATTCTCTGTTTTACTGAGCTCAAATATCGAAAACTGCCAATACCCTCACATTTTACAACAAAAAAGGGACAGCGAGCCTCCAAATTTTCCTTCCCCATTTTAGGCACTGGTACTGAACAAAACCGATGATAAATCCAACCTAGTGTATTTGTTTTCACTCCTATAGAGAAAAAAATTACTTAATTAATAAATATGGCCTGTACATCGTTCTAATTAAAACACTTACCAAGACTTTTCATGAATTCATGGTTCCTCTTTATGTTTCTCAGCCGAAGAAGCTCGTATTCTGATAAAGCTCCGGCCATCTCAGGTAACAAGCCTATTTTGATTCAGTCCCTAGTCTCCGCTGTCGACAAAGTAATCTTTAGAATTACAGAAAAAAAAAAAGAAAAATCAGATACTAACTTCTATTTATGGTCGATAAGCGTAAATAAACTTATGAGATTATTGTGTAGGTTTTAATCCTGTGTGCTTTGAAAGTTAAGCTTATATGCTTGCTTTACTTTCATCTTCACATACTTGGAAAGTGGCTTTGTCAAAACGAATTATTTTTAAAGTCTTAGAAACTGAACAGACCCAATGATTAGTTGTGACCAGCTGAACACAAGGGTTTTTCAGCAGGTTTTTTCAGCAAGGTTTTTTCAAACTATCAAGTGGCAGTTTTCTTGTCGGATCTTTTTCTTCTTCTACACAGCGTCCTACATAACAAAATTAACTTACCTCTTTTTCAGCGTACTTTGTTCAAACACTGACTAAGTATCCAAAGTATCCAAAACTGATCTTTTAAGTTTCTTCTTGTCGATTTTCAGGACTCCCAACACAGCAATGTCAAACTTTTTTAGCTTTTTTTAGCAATACTTTTACGTAAGAAAAGCAGAGAAAAGAAATAATTTTTTTCCCTCGATCAACGTCATAAGCTACAAAGCGTCTGATTGGTCAGCGACTCACAAGCAGAAGAAAAGGGCGCGAAAATAAACCGCGGGTTACACAAGTGACATTTTTTTCCCTTCCGGGGGATTTCCAGGGTAGGTAAGGACACGGGGAAGGGGAAGTCAATACGATAGCATATTGCTATTTCTTCTGAAAAGCATTTAATTAACGACTAAATTCAATTTTTAAAAAACGCTTTTGATGGACACCGTTCTTCACTGTTCAAAACCACGAAACCATTCAAGGCCGTTCCCGTTTTGGATGACATCAACGCAATAGGACTTTAAACTGTACTGTACATTCTGCAAACCTTATTCAGGAAACGGGCTCCCGTCGCGCCGCTCCCTTCAAACCAGCCAATCAACAACGTCGTTTCCAGATCCCTCGCGTAGCGTAGGACAACAACATGGCCGCCGAAGGTGTGCTCTTTCAATATACGATCCTTTTTAGTTTAGCCACCTTTTGCTCCCTAGCGAATGAACCGATCCGTGAACACGACGAAATGATCCGTCACATTGTACTCGAGCCATCCCACGTAGTAAAAAGACGCAGTATTGACCAGCCATTGCGGATTTCACTGGATTTTCTCGACATCAACAAGTTAGAAAATCCGACGATCGTTAAGGATATTTTACGTGAAGCACAAGAGTACTTCAGAAAAACTTTGAAAGTCCGAAAGACAACATCCAAGATTCTTCTTCAAAGAAGTTGTTCTAACAAATCTTTCTTCACGAGAAGCGCCGACGGAAAACGTCCTGGTAACGTTCGATTTTGCCATGAGGCGTGCAACTCTTCTAGAACCTTATGTGGGCCGATTGATATTCCAGAACACGATTTAGATCAGTGTAGAATATGTGATCAAAATGGCCAAAATTGTCAGAACGACACACGTCCAGGTTTTACTGCCGGTGAAGGGCACAACGACACGGATTTTATACTTTACGTGACAGCAGTTGCCGATAGTAATTGCAACAGCATAACAACACTAGCTTATGGTTCTGCTTGCCAACAAGAAAGCGCCTTAGATCGACCAGTTGTGGGATTTATCAACATATGCCCAGGAAAGGTCACCGCAGATGAGCTTAGAACTAGCTACAGTGAGGTACTTGCCACGATAAAACATGAAATATTTCACGCTCTTGGGTTCGCACCATCACTGTATGCCTTTTACCGGATTCAGAATGGAGATCCGCTGACTCCACGATCGAGTAATGGACTACCAACAACAGATGAACGTGTTCTAAAACACTATAAATGGAGCAAAGAGGTAATCCATTATGCATGTCTCTAACACACTAGTGTAGGGATCTGTCTTATTGGACTCACATACTGTACATATACACTGGGTGAGGTAGCAAACAATGTCCCTAACCCTAAAACAATAACAGCTGCTATACCATGATGACAAGCTTACAGGCGCTGCTATTCTTCCGTATACATCGGTCCTGCACCCAAAATATAGAACGCTAAGCAGCGGTTGGAAGGTTAGTTACAATGTTTGCTGCACTGGTGGGTTAAAAATTGCAACTGGGTGCTTCAGTAGTTGTTTACTGCATGAAATATACCATTTTGCAAGGCTTCTAAGCAGGTTCTCCCATTTTCTCCTCACACTGCCTGACTCTTAGCACCTGCTATCATGTGTTCCATAACTAGGGCTGGTTTATCAGTGTGTTGTAGGGGTTTGATTATGCAGTGGAACCTCGATTTAATGAAGGGCCAAGGGTCTGGCAGAATATGTTCGCTATAACAAGGTTTTTTTATGTCATGGTTCTGTTACATATATATTTTACTATTACTGGGGCAAAGAATACCATTCGTTATACCAAGGACTTCGTTAAATAGAGGTTCATTAAATCAAGGTTCCACTGTAGCAAGGACTTGTGTTGGGCTAGAAGTGACTAGGCTTGAATGTGATCATTCTTTTTCTATCACCATTATTTGTTTGTCATACCGGTATATCTTTCATTTTTCTTGCTAGACTGCAAAGGAAGTGACTAGGACTGACTGGTTAACACGGACTGGTGCTGTGCGCCACAATGTTCACATAATGGTCACACCAAGAGTCAAGGAAGAAGCAAGGAAACATTTTAACTGCTCAACATTAGAAGGAGCTGAACTTGAAAATCAGGGCGGTGAAGGGACTGCATTGGCACACTGGGAAAAACGCCTGTTCGGAAATGAAGGAATGACTGGCGTCTTCACTCAAAACTCTGCATTCTCTAGGCTGACGTTAGCACTGATGGAAGACACAGGCTGGTACAAAGTAGACTATAATATGGCAGAGCCATTGCAGTGGGGGAAAAACTTGGGGTGTATGTTTGCTAAAAATAGCTGTGGAGCTTGGATGAAGGCACAAAAAGATGCAGGAAAAACCGTGGCTCCATTCTGCAATAACGTCAAGAAAAACAGTAATTCCAAGACTAGTTGTACAGTTGACAAGACATCTGTTGCAAGCTGCAACTTAGTCGAGTATGAACAACAGCTGCCTGGTGATTTTCAAAATTTTGTCGCCAGTTCTATTCCAGGAGTCGCTGGATCAGAAGAGAATTATGGTGGATCCGTAGCTTTGGCAGATTACTGTCCATATTATCAAGCTTTCACGTGGACTAAACAAGGCAAAGATGTTAGAACTTCTTCTTGCATCTCGTATCACAACAATCTGGAGCAAGACAAAAACTATGCTTTGGAATCGTATGGGACTAACTCACGATGTTTTGAACAATTGGGAAAGTGGACTAGGCAGAATTGTGGTGTGCGCTGGACAGCAACAAACTGGGGAAGTGGTTGTTACAAATATTTATGTGAGCCGGACTCACTAAAGATTGAAATTGTAGGCTATAAATTCAAGTGTTTTTACAAAGGGCAGCATATCAATATTTCTGTACAAGATAATGACTGGGAATATCATGGAGAGTTAATATGTCCTTCTTGTCAAGAGGTGTGTCATGATGACATATTTATTTGTCCCACGGAAGTAAAACCTGCCCCCCAAAATTCTCAACCAGTACCTAAACTTTCTCCCGCAGCCTGCTCTCAATGTTCTATACTGTTCCAACAGGTTTTGGGTCTTGAAATGCTTCTAATATTGGTTTACAATGCTTACTTCAGGCTGCAATTTTAATGGGTGTTTTATCCAAGCTACAAATTTACAGTATCTACTCTGAACTTTTTTTATATGTCTGTATTTAATATTTTATACTCATCTGAAAAGAGGTTTCAAAACATGGCTCAAAATTGTTTTATGTAATATTTTAGAGTCAAGTACTACCCTGGCTACAAAATATGTATTTAACAAGGGAAAACAGAACAGCTCTACTCACAGTTCATTGTTTTCTAGCATGACCATTATTAAAAAAAATGATCTAATTTTGACAGTACGCCATTTCTGAGTTGCCTTTTACCTCTGTCTCAAAACAAGTCTCT